TATGGTATTTCTATTTCTAGCTTTCTAAGGAAGCACCATATCATTTTCCAAAATGGTTCCAAGTGTACTTATTTTAATGATTCTAGTACAGTATATCTAGATATCTCCAGCAAAAATCTATTTTCTAGGCCTGATGGTCAGTAATAGAATAAAAAGTTAGGAATTGAGTTGGAGAAAAATTGAAAGTGGAAAGATGAGAAAGATTGGACTTGTAGCAAGGCTCCAATTATGTATGTTTGGTAGTGAACCTAGCGCATATTAGACACTTGGTAAGTAAATGATGAACATGAAGCCACATAGTCCAGTCATAGACCGAAGGCCAGGGAAGGTGCCTGCCGGGTTTCTGAATGTGTTAATTGTTTCCTGCGGTTAGTATTTTTTCCCACAGTGGTTTTGGTTGAGGAACACACATACATGCATATATATTTATAGATACATATATATTTAAATGCTTTAATTAGAGTATAACATATATAGATAAAAATACACTAATAAGTGTGTAATAATTCCACAAAGTGGACATATTTGTTTAGTAAAGTCCCCTCTGTGTTCCTTTCTACTCATTACCTGACAAGGTAACCTGTATCCTGACTTCTAACGTAACAGATAGGCATATAAATGCAATAATATGATACATACTATTTCTGTTTGACTTCTTTTGCTCAGCATTGTATTTATGTGATCCATCCATGTTGTTGTATGGAGCAGTAGTTATTCTCATTGCTGTAGTAGAGTAAGTGTAATTTTTAATTAGCTTAAGTTATCTTAGGGAAAATTATCTGCTTCAAATTGTTCTTCCAAAAACAGTTTCTAACACGTTACTGTAGGGATTGGGACAGCTTTAATACTGATGTACTGAGAGAAACTGTGGCACGTGGGAGCTGTTGGGAAGGAGGAACATGTGCTCTTGAGAGACAGTGCATCAACTTGGTGGTAAAGAATTTACAAACTTCCATGTGTTTCCTAAAATTTAATTTTGCTAGTAGAAAGTTGGTGATTCTTTAGAGTTTTTCTTAGGTTTATATATTTTAGTAATAACAGTAATAGGTAACATTTATTGAGCTTATACTAGGTACAAAGTACTATGCGAAGTGCTTTACTTCAATTACCTGATTTTCTTTTCACCAAAACTGACGCTTTACGAGTATTGTGGAGAGAGAGGCCTTAGTCACTCAGTGCAAATGAATACACCCTTTAATGAACGTAGGTGCGTGTGGCCTCTGTTTTCTAATGGTTTGCTCTTTTCATGTGTAGGTATGTCATTGATGGTGCCACTGCTCTTTGGTGTGCAGCGGGAGCAGGACACTTTGAAGTTGTTAAGCTTCTAGTCAGTCATGGAGCCAACGTGAACCACACCACAGTAACTAACTCAACCCCCCTGCGGGCAGCATGCTTTGATGGCAGACTGGACATTGTTAAGTACTTGGTTGAAAATAATGCCAACATCAGCATTGCCAATAAGTATGACAACACCTGCCTAATGATTGCAGCATATAAGGGACACACCGATGTGGTCCGATACCTTTTAGAACAACGCGCTGACCCCAACGCTAAAGCACATTGTGGTGCCACAGCATTGCACTTTGCAGCTGAGGCTGGGCATATAGACATTGTGAAAGAGCTAATAAAATGGCGTGCTGCTATAGTAGTGAATGGCCATGGGATGACGCCTTTAAAAGTAGCTGCCGAAAGCTGTAAAGCTGATGTCGTCGAACTATTGCTCTCTCATGCTGATTGTGACCGAAGAAGTCGGATTGAAGCCTTGGAACTCTTGGGTGCCTCCTTTGCAAATGACCGTGAGAACTATGACATCATGAAGACATACCACTATTTATATTTAGCTATGTTGGAGAGGTTTCAAGATGGTGACAACATTCTTGAAAAAGAGGTTCTACCACCAATCCACGCTTATGGGAATAGAACTGAATGTAGAAATCCTCAGGAACTGGAATCCATTAGGCAAGACAGAGATGCTCTTCATATGGAAGGCCTTATAGTTCGGGAACGGATTTTAGGTGCTGACAATATTGATGTTTCCCATCCCATCATTTATAGGGGGGCTGTTTATGCGGATAACATGGAATTTGAACAGTGTATCAAGTTGTGGCTTCACGCTCTGCACCTTAGGCAGAAAGGTAACAGGAATACCCACAAGGATCTTCTTCGATTTGCTCAAGTTTTCTCACAGATGATACATTTGAATGAAACCGTGAAGGCCCCAGACATAGAATGTGTTTTGAGATGCAGTGTTTTGGAAATAGAACAAAGTATGAACAGAGTGAAAAATATTCCAGATGCTGATGTCCACAATGCTATGGACAATTATGAATGTAATCTCTATACTTTTCTGTATTTAGTATGCATCTCCACCAAAACACAGTGCAGCGAAGAAGACCAGTGCAAAATTAACAAGCAGATCTACAACCTGATTCACCTTGATCCCAGAACTCGGGAAGGCTTCAGCTTACTGCATCTAGCCGTCAACTCGAATACCCCAGTCGATGATTTCCATACTAATGATGTCTGTAGCTTTCCAAATGCTCTGGTCACAAAGCTTCTGCTGGACTGCGGTGCTGAAGTGAACGCCGTGGACAATGAGGGAAACAGTGCCCTGCATATCATTGTTCAGTACAACAGGCCCATCAGTGATTTTTTGACCTTGCACTCCATCATCATTAGCTTGGTGGAAGCTGGCGCTCACACTGACATGACAAATAAACAGAATAAGACTCCGCTAGACAAAAGTACAACTGGGGTATCTGAAATACTACTTAAAACTCAAATGAAGATGAGTCTCAAGTGCCTGGCTGCCCGAGCAGTTCGGGCTAATGACATTAACTATCAAGACCAGATCCCCAGAACTCTGGAAGAGTTTGTTGGATTTCATTAAGTGACTGGATGTGTAAAATCGTTTAATGTGGTGCTAAAAAGTAAAGGACTTTAATCACAGACAATAGAATTATGTGTTCATAAATTCTACTTTTCTTTTTACTACCCTTTCCTCCTAACCCATCCTCCCTTCGTTCTATATTTAGCCTTATTGCCTCTTACGGTAATTGGCTTCAGATACACCTTAAGCAGAGTCACGTAGTTTAGGTGTAACTATAATCTAAAGGTGTTTGGATATTGGTCACTTAACTATTTTTTTTTTTTTAAAGAAATGAGTATAAGATATTTTGTTTATGTAACAAGGAACATTTATGATTTGAAACTGATAATGTTTTAAACAGCTACCTAAAGAAGTATTTCTGTTAAAAGCCTGTGTCAGCATGTTATCCATGCAGTAGTCTTGAGGATTTAATGAAGAAAAAGATCTAAAAGGAGCATTAAAAGGAATGGGATACCCAGGTGTTCTGCACATGCCAAACTGCTGTAGATGGTTTTCCCTCTTCCATTATTTATGTGAAGTGGAACGACAGGAGGATTTAAAAAAATAGAGCTGCAGATTACTCTGAAAAAATGTGCTAATTTAGTAGTAGTCACAAATTTATAAAGTAAAATAAATCTATTGAAATTGTTGTATTATTCTGGGTGATATATTCAAAGTAGTAGTAATCTTAAACCAGTTGTTTTCAGAGAATATTGATGGACTTTTTGTCTTTAGACTTGAATTCTAAAATTCTTTTAAGTCTCTGTTTTAATGTAATTTATCTAAATTGCAGCAGTCTGCCTTGACTTCAGCTCCCAAACATGTAACAATGGTGAATGCACAGTATAATCACGATAGAGTTAAGCAGTGTATTTTTGCCCCCTCTACCTTTCCCTTATCCTCCTGTGTGGCATCTTTGAAAATTTGGAAACTCCTCTTCCAGAGGCCATAATTAGTGCCCCCTAGGTGCAGTTCTACTCTGAAGCACATGGGGTCGCCGTGAGTCAGAATGGGCTCGGTGGCAAATGGTTTGTGTAATAAGGTGTTTATGACAAATGATATTTTAATTTTATTTTTATATTTTTTTACTTAGCCCATGACAAGGAGTAGAAGAATCATTAGTGTGGTATAGGAAATCAAATGTTTTTGATGATGAAAAGTAATTCATAATGCCGTTTTGAAAGGCATTTCTGTCTGAGAGCAGCACATTTTTAACCACAAAATGTTACTTATTCCAGCAAGGCTGTACAGAGGCCTTTATGTTTTTTGTTTTGTTTTATTTTAACTACCACGTTTTAACTGTGAGACTTAAGGGTATTCTGTGATTATTTTTTAAGCATCACAGAAATTCGAGTAAAGGGTACATGCTTATTTCTGTTGATGTTAATAATGATAAAGAAATTAAAATTAGCTTGTATCTGTATTTTTCTCTCTAGTGCCAAATGAATGCCTTAGCTACTCATAGTGCATGGTACTGTAAATGACGACCTGCAGCTTTTTTTTTCTTTAATGAAAAGCATTGTAATGATGTTGCAACATCAGATATACACTAAACAAAAACAGCTGTAAAGTTTCAAGTAACATTTTATGTATGAAAATTACTTTGTGAAATATAAGAGGAACGGTTGCAGTTGAATCAGTATAACACCTAATGACCAAGCCAAAATCAGCACCTAGGGCCTTAAATAAAATTAGATGAAATCATTTGAAAGGTGGGCGGGAATGGAGGGGGGGGAGGGCTTTAAAAACTTTTCCCCCCAAGAATGCAAGATACCTTACAGTCGCTATATTATACTTTGGGTGTCTTCCTGCTTGAGTTAGGAATGTTCTGATGATAAATTCTGCCATGGCGATATATTTCTATTTTCCCAGCCTGAGATTTTACAAGGAAGGTTTTTAGAATAGTTTAAAGGGGAAGTATTTTGAATGAGACCTAATTTGAAATTACTGGCCTTGATCCTCCTGGGATGAATCCAGGAAAGACCGTACCTTGCTCTTGGCAACTCTCGTGGCCTGAAAGAGAAAATGTACTTCCTCAGCGTGAGGGAATCATGCCTTTTCCATGGCTCAGATTGGACCTTTTTGTTTTTTTCACTTCAAGGCCTACTTATTTGACAGTTTGAGGAATAGTTCAAGTGAGGTATTCAGTGGGTGCCCATTATTTAGATACGATTTTTAAACACCAAAACATAAAATATCAGATAACGTTGCATGTTTTAAAAACATACTTCACCCCCTTTGCTATGCAGAATGAGCGCTATTTTAGATACTACTTATAAAATGAGGTTAATGATTACATGTGCATAGTCCGACATCAAAATTTAATGACATTCAAATGGTTCTGAGAAGGGAGGACTGAATGCTGGAGAAAGTAAAATCGTGCTGATTGAAATGCTGGCAAAGTTGGAGAAAGAATTTGAAGATAGTAGAATAAACTATGAATTATGCTTATGGTAACTGATAATTTTTTTACTATAGTAGTACATCGTGCACTATATTGCTAAGGATGTCTTGTAAAATAAATCCAAATATGTATTGTGAAACAGCTGTATAAAACCATTCTTGAAACAAGTGATCTACATGCCTGTTTTTAAAATTTTGGGGGGTGGGTAGAATTATTTTAAAATATGTGTAGTCAAACCCTTTCCAAACTTGTGTGGTTTTTTTTTTTAATGAAAATAAATAGGTAAGAAAGGTGATAGTTCTGTATCTCAGCTCTTTTTTCCAGCCTCTTTTGTCATTTTATATTTATTATTGGTAGAATTATGCCTTGGATTGTAACTCTTGATAGCATTACAAATTAATCAAAACTTCTTTGTCCTGTCAGTAATTGTCATAGAATTTTGGATGAACTAGAGGCCCAGGGGGATGCTTTTCATTTGCAGACCATGTGAAACTGAGGTGGGTTTTGTCCTTTTAATAGAGCTGATGAAATTGAACCCTTGCATTTAGGTAACTGTTTAACTCAAGGAATGGGCAGCAAATCCACTGGTAAAGGAGGGGAACATTTTTTCACATAAGAACTCTGCCACTGACAACATAGTTTTTTTCACTCCACCTTGGATTGCTCTAGTAGTTCACAGTCCAACTGCCTTAAGTTTATTTGCTGTGGGAACTTGAAACAAACCAAAAACCAGAGCATTTGCAAGCTTTTGTCTTGCTTGATTCTGGATTGGGTTTTATTTAACTGTACTAATAGCTGATTAATAACTGGTAATTGTGAGAAACCTAGATGGTGTGATAGTACTGTTTGAATAAAATATGATTTGGGGGCAGCAGCTCCCTAAATACCAACTCTGTATTTGGCAGTTAAAATCCCAGGGGAACAACACCCTGTCACCAGTTTCCACTGTAGTTGAGGCAGCTGCCTTATGAAAAAGACCAGTTGGGATTATTAAGGTAGAAGCATTTCTCGTTTTGGAAGCGGGTGAGGTAAGGAGTGAATTGCTGGTTTAGAAGCAGCCACTGGTTGACTAGTGAGTGAGTAGATGGGTAAAAGTATAAAAGACTGACTTTTATGGTAGTTTTCTGTAAAAATCTTAAATGTTCCTTTTCAGGCTAGCGATGTATCAGTGTACAAATGACTATTCTGTTTTCCTCAGCCAAGACACTGACTATACTATAACATTAAAATAGGCTAAAGAAAACAAAATGTTGCCTTTTGCTGTATGAAAATGTACTAGTCCATAAGCTTTTAAGCTGTGTGTTCATTCCTACTCTAAAAACGCACAACTCTGCTCTGGATACCCTCTTTTGAAAGCAGAAAGCTCGTAGTTGTGTATGTCTTATTTGTAGGGCTTTTTCATACATATTTGGCAGCCTTGCCCACATCTTCAGACAGGCTCGGTTGCCTAGCATCCTCCCTCAAATATGGAGTCTGAAGTACTGCACTGATCATGGTGATAGAAACATTAATTTTTAAAACTGAAGTAAATGTGGTCCCTAGTCCTAGGTTGTAGTGTGTACATTTGTGTTGATGTGCAGGGAAGGGGACAGTGACTTGATGGCTGTGGGGTTTGTATCTTGATGTGTGTGCAGGGGCGAGCATTGCTAACTTCACAGCTTTTTATCTGGGGGAGTTGTGACGAATGGTTCTAATCAGCAAAATAAAGGGAGAAGATGCAAACTTGCCAAGTAATGAAGTGAACAAAAGTCTTGTATCTGCTTTTATCAGGTGTTGTAAAATTTGTGCATGGCGTTTTTGTTGTTGCTTAGTAAGTATTGGTAGAGAAGAAAAGATAGGGGGAAGAAACTCAGCTTTCCTAACCCATCGTTTCAGAGGTGCGTAGTTGGAGAGTAAAATCTGACTGGCCTAACCTGTCCTTTATAATAATACCCCATCCTGCAACCGTCCACGTGGAGGACTGCGTTGTTATTTTCTAGTAATTCACTGTGATTTATAACAAACCGGTGACGTCATTCTGTTGTGCGCTTTTGTCAAACCATTTACAGAACTTTGATAGACATAGTAAACTTGCTGACTGCCCCAGAGGTCTATTAATGATTTGTATATTGCATGACGTTTTCTATTTGAGTTTGACATGTAGAATTATTTTTAATTTCATGGCAATTGATAGTCCTAATAGCTCAGCTAATTTGAAACTAACAATCTTGCTGTGTAAAAGGAAAAAATGGTGTTTGTGTTTAGTAAATGTTTGAAAAAAAAAAACTGCCTTGAAGTTTGTGTCTTTATTGTTCAGTGTGCCCTTAGTTGAGATGATCTTTCGTTGAGTTTATTAAAAAAAAAAATTACCGAAGTTATACATGTTCTTGGGAAAAAAAAATTCAGATAGTAAAGAGAAATTCAAATAGTAACAATAAAAAAATTTCCTTCCCTTCTCCCACCTCCCATTTGGACCCAACAGGCAATCATTGGTAGTATTTTGAGTAGTTTCCCAGAATTTTTTGTGCATCTGTGTATTATTTCTCCCTTTCATTTTTTAGAATGCAAATGGACTTTACCTTTCCTACACTATTCTCTATCTTTATCATATAATAGATCTGAGATAATTTTTCATTTCAGTATGTTTGGATAAAAAAAAAAAAACCTTCATACCACTTAATTCTACGAATGGACTTAGATTTATTTAACCAGACCTTATTGATGGACTTTCAGGTTTTCAGTTTTTTATATTGCTAATAATGCCACAGTGAACATCCTTATATGTGCTATATTCAGAGAATAAATTCTATTCCTAGCGCTGGAACTTCTGGTTTAGTGACTGTGCATTTAAAATCTTGATAGAGATGATCAGATACCATCTCCCTATACCTATATCAACACCAGATACTACCAAAGCATTCAGTTTTTGACAAAGTGATTAATAAAAACCACTATTTCATGGTTTTGACTTGCGTTCCTTTGTTACGAGGTAGGTCGAACACTGTTTATTTACTGGCGTTTGCTTTTCCCTTGCATTGAGGCGTGGTCTCTTTCTTATTGACTCGTTAGAAAGTCTTTGGAAGTTTTCTCTGTCATGGCACAATTTGTAGGGTTTTTTTTTAACGGTAGTTTTTGTATCAGAAGTTTAAATTTTTATGTAGCTAAATGTAGCAATAATTTTGTTTATGGCTTCTAAGTTTTGTATCCTGCTTGTAAAACCTCCATTCCAAGATTATACATTTCCTTTTACCCACGTTTTCATCCTCCTCCTCTTCTTTGTTTAAATGTTTGACCTACCTGGAATTTATTTTGATGTTAGGATTCAGCTAGCCAAGGGCCCCCTTAATTTTTCCCACTGATTTTAATCATAAATTCCTATACTGTAATTGAAGTTTTTCCTGGATTCTCTATTCTGTTGATCTGTCAGTGTGGTGGCACTCAGGGCAATATTGTTTGAGTTTAAATCCTGGCTCTACCACTTACTAGCTCTGTGACCTTGGGCAAGTTACTTTTCTACCGAAGCCTCAGTTTCTGTAAATTGGGATAATATTATCTAACTTGGATTGTGATGAGCAAATGACATAATTAAAATTCATAACAGCACCTTATATACAGTAATGTGCCTGGTAAATGTTAAATATTAATATCTAGTGGGGCTAATATTTCCTCATTTGTTTCTAAAAGAGGAGTGGATCATTTTTTTCGTTATCGTATGTTTATTTTTCTAGATGAACTTTGGTGTCATTTTCTTAAAAGATTTATTTAGCATTGACTTAGTGGATTAATTTAGAGAGACTTGACATCTGTACAATTTTGAGGCTTTTTATCCAAGAGAAAGAAATACCCATTTATTCAAGTCTTCTATGTCTCTGTCCAGAGAGTTTTTTTGAAGTTTTTTTTTCTTTTTAAATGAAGGTTTTACAAAATAGCTTCCTTTTATTATTATTAGGTTTTTTTGCTTTTTTGTTTATATTGTGGATAGAAGCTTTTCTCCTATTACATATACTTCTAAATGTTAATGTTTGAACATAGGCACTTTAATAGATTTACCTTCTTTAAAAAATGATTTTTTTAGTTGCTTTTGGGTATTCTAAGCACACTAATCATCATTTGCAAGTAATGATAACTTTGCCTTCTGTTCAGTATCCATACCTCATATTTCTTTCTTTTATCTAATTACATTGGTTGAGATTGCCAGAGGAATATTAAATGGTAGTATTAGAGCACATCCTTAGCACGTATTTGTTTTCAAATTTAGATTTAGAGTAGCCATTCCAGTCTATAGTGATCTGAAAAAAATCCTGTAGTACAGCCCTCTCTTTTTATAGATGAGGATGCAGGCACAGAAAGAAGTGACTTGTCCATCCAAGGTCACATGAGACTGAGTGTCAGAGTTGGGAGTAGGATCTGGACATCTTGACCCACTGAGCATGCTTTTCCGGTATCAGACTCATGCCAGTACCGGAGAAGCCCCTTGCTGGAGCTCTCACAGGCCCGGCTTGGCTGCAACCCCAGATGTCCTGCAGAGAGCATCCTGGAAAACAACAAAAACTTGCCGTTGAGTCCATTCCGACTCACAGCGACCCCGTAGGACAGTGGAACTGCCTCATAGGGTTTCCACGGAGTGGCTGGTGGATTCGAACTGCCAAACTTTTGGTTAGCAGCTGAGCTCTTAACCACTGTGCCACCAGGGCTCCCAGAGATCATCCAGACAGATTAAAAAAATCTTTTTTTCTTTGTTTCAAGTAATGTCTGCTGTATGAATATTGACCAGACTAAAGAAAATACAGGCACTAATTTTTCTTCAGATACTTGATCTGGAAAATTCATATATGAGATGTACATTTCAAGTGGTTCACACCATCTTAGCTTTTTGGCAAACTTAGACAAAATTACATTTCTAAATTTGTGCGTCCCTCTTTAATTTGGTGTGCCCAGTCCATGTGCAGAGCAGGACTGGGGTTTTGCTCTTACCTCCACCAATGGGAACAAACCTTGGAAATGAGCACTTACTGAGCACCCACTGTGTGTCAGGCGCTGTACTAGAGATGTGTGTACACAGAGTGAACCAGCCTTGTCCTTGATCAGTTCATGGTCCAGCTAGATACCCCTATTTGAAGTCTGATGTTTCTATTTGTCCCCAGAAATTTTAAATTTAATTTCCCAAGTAAAATTTTATGATGTTACTTTGTGACTCTGGTTTGGGCCACCTGAAAACATTTCAGAAAGCATCATCATTTGAGTTGCTGCTTATCGTTTCTTTTATGCAAGACCGGGGAAATAAGAACAAAGAACATGGAAGACCAATTTTAAAGGAAGAGCCCATCCAGGAATGGCACACCCCCCCCTTTTTTTTTTTTAAGAAAAAGAATTTCCTCTCAGACGCTCTTGATGTGGTGATTTCCTAGGTACAGCTTAACCTATTTATACTGGAACGTTTCTGAGTTCAGGGGCGAGATTTCTAACCCTCTCCATGCGAAACCCGCAAAGCTTCTGTCCTTGTTTCAGTGTCTGTTTTTGAACACGTTGTCCTACTTTAGTGCAGTGTCAGAGCTAATGGAATAGTGACACAGCAGCACCTGCAGATTGTACTCTGGCCTATGAAGCCTGACTGCCCCTTGAGAGGAGCCTAACTGATGTTAGTACGGGGATGATTTCTGAGATTTTTTTTTTTCAATTGTAGGAAGTGATACAGAATAAAGGGTTGGCAGAGCATTAGCTGAAGGTAAAAGTAAAGGCTGGTATGTTGTTCGGTGAAAAGAGGGGACCAGTCACTACTAATGGCTGTGACCTGGCAACTTCCTTCTTAGTTTAGGGGTGAGGGTTGGTGGCAGGGAGTCATTACACTGGAAAGGGGGGGTGATTAAGCCCGCTGTTTCTATTACAGGCTTCTTGACATCTAACCACTGTGCCACCAGGGCCCCTGAAGTCAGGGAGACTGACTCAAGCCTAGTGTCTTATTTTGGGTGAATATCGACACTAAAAGCTCTTGAATGTTGATGGAGGTAGCAATTTGTCTTTTAAAGACCTCTAGGGACAGAGAGGAGCCCTGGTGGTGCAGTGTTTAAGAGCTCAGCTGCTAACCAAAATGTTGGCAGTTTAAATCCAGTCATTCCTTGGAAGCACTATGGGGCAGTTCTGCTCTGTCCTGTGAGGTCACTACGAATCAGAATCGACTCAACTCACTACGAATCAGAATCGACGGCAACACTTCTTTTTTTTTTTTTTTTTTTTTTTAGGGAAGGAGAAGAAGGAGCCTTGGTGGCATAGTGGGTAAGTGCTCCGCTGCTAACCGAAAGGTTGTGGTTCGAACCCACCAGTCGTTCTGTGGGAGAAAGATGTGGCAGTCTGCTTCCATAAAGATTACAGCGTTGGAAACCCTACAGGGCAGTTGTACTCTGTCCTGTAGGGTCGCTGTGTGTTGGAATCGACTTGATGGCAATGATTTTTTTGTTTTCTGTTTTGGAGGGAAGGAGAATTCCTCACCTTCTCCCAGTAGCACCTCCTCATTGTCCTGGGCAGAATCATTCCCTCTCAGCTGTGTTGAGTTAGCACTTGGCCCCTTGCACTTTGCACTGTAAATACTGAATACATGTCTTCCTGTTAAGAAACACCACCTTCCTTAACAAAAATAAAACACAGAAACTCCTCTGTTTGCACTGGAAGGACACCTGTTGGGGTTCTTTGCTGATTTCTGCTGCCACAAAGACAGGCCCCAGTGCAGCTGAAGGACAGCTGAGATGGGTTGGGCTGTTTAAGAAATTAACATTGAAGATTAGGGAATAACGCAGAATATTATATAGCTCTGGGTTGGTAGTTCTTCAAGTTTAATGTGTTTAGAATTACCTCATAGAACGTGGATCTGTGATTGTGAGGTCTGGGCTGGGGGGAACTTAGGAGTCTGGTTTTGATGGGGTGGCTCTGAGACTCCACTTTGAGCAGCTCAGCTCTGGGTAGACAGTCTACTCTGAGACACAACTTGCCTGCTGAGCTTGCGTGCTCATACCACATAATGCCGGAGAGAAGACGCACTTAGGTCTGGACTCCTCCTTTCCAGCTCTCAGTTGGCGGGAAGTGAAGGATGCCAGAATTTGATGCCTACTTCCGCAGAGAACACTGCACAATAGCTCGAGGGCCTGAGGCCTCTTTGAATCTACCCAGAGTCCATCCCTCAGCTTTTGAATCTTCTCTGGGACCTGCCCCCATCCTTCAGTGAGGTCCCCTAAGGCCAGGCTCCTCTACCACTGACCTTGTCAGAGTCCACAGTGAAACCACCCAGGACATCTTACACAGCTCCCTTCACAGCTCCTTGTCTGAGATCTGTCTCCGCTACCAGACAGACCTCAGACATCCTGACACCCATGGACCAAATTCTAAATCCACCTTTTGTTGATAACTTGGTTTAAAGGGTCAGACCTTGCCCCAGGCACGTTTTCTCCTGTGCACTTAAGTTTGCTGCAGACTTGCTTAAGTATCTCGTGGCCACATGGAAATCAAAGCAGTTTGTTTAGCGTCTAAGGTTGGCCAATAATGATTTGAAAATCTGAACCATTTTTAAATTGGCTTCATTTCCATGTTAACTCTCTGAGCTTAGCCCTTAGCTCCATCATAAATAATTATTCTTAGTTACTAGATAGAATATTGTTAATAACATCCATCTGTGAACCAAAAT